TTGGGGAGTGAACCTCTCCCTTTCCCTTTCTCTCTGCCTCTGGCTCTCTGTAACTCTGCCTTTCAAATAAATACATACATACATACATCTTTAAAAAAAAGAAAATACACAAATTTATTTTTAAAACAGTATAAGACAGAGAGAATTGATGGCAAGGAAAGTATCAAGGAACATAAAAGGGAATCCCTATTAGACTAACCTCAAACTCAGAGACTAAGGGAGCATGGCTGGGACAGGAGTTGTGGCACAGCAACTTAAACTGTTACCTGGGATGTCTGCATCCCCTATCAGAGTGCTGACTACTCTGGTTCTGATCCAGCTTCCTGCTAATGCATCCTGAGGGGCAGTGGGCAATGCTTGGGCCCCTGACACCCGCGTGGGAGACCACATGGGAGTTTCTGGCTCTGGGTTTTGGTATCTGGGGCGTTTAGGGAACAACCCAGGGATGGAAGATCTCTCTGTGTGTCTCTATCTGTTGCTTGGCCTTTCAAGTAGTTGGAAATAAACATTCTATTTCTTAAAGAGAGAGAAAGGGCTAATACATTCAAAGTCTTGAAAGAAAATCATTGCCCACCAGGACACTATCCTCAGCAAAGCTATCCTTCAAAGATGAAACAGAAATAAAACATTCCCAAGACAAGCAAAAACGGAGGGAACTCATCACTACTATATCAGCTCATCTCAAAAAAAAAAAAAAAAAAAGCTTAAGAGAGAACTATGATAATGATAAATATCTGAGGTTATAGGTAAACCAATTAACCTGATGTGGTCGTTACACATTGTATATATGTTTTTTGTTTGTTTTTGACAGGCAGAGTGGACAGTGAGAGAGAGACAGAGAGAAAGGTCTTCCTTTTGCCATTGGTTCACCCTCCAACGGCTGCCACGGCTGGCGTGCTGCGGCCGGCGCACCACGTTGATCCAATGGCAGGAGCCGGGTACTTATCCTGGTCTCCCATGGGGTGCAGGGCCCAAGTACTTGGGCCATCCTTCACTGCACTCCCGGGCCACAGCAGAGAGCTGGTCTGGAAGAGGGGCAACCGGGACAGAATCCGGTGCCCCGACCGGGACTAGAACCCGGTGTGCCGGCGCCGCAAGGCGGAGGATTAGCCTAGTGAGCCGCGGTGCCGGCTGTATATATGTTTTGAATTGTCACGCTATACCTCATAATTTAAATAACCACAATGTGTCAATTAAAAATAAAAATATATTTTTAAAAAAGAATGATTAACATATTTAATATATGCACAATTGCAATGTGCATCCCAGAAAATGACATTCAGAAACACTACAAGATAATGCCATTTAAAAATGCAAAAATCACAACTTTATACAAATATAAAATTAATACATGTCAAAATTTCATTTAATCGGCCAGCGCCGCGGCTCCCTAGGCTAATCCTCCGCCTTGCGGGGCCAGCACACCGGGTTCTAGTCCCGGTCAGGGTGCCGGATTCTGTCCCAGTTGCCCCTCTTCCAGGCCAGCTCTCTGCTGTGGCCAGGGAGTGCAGTGGAGGATGGCCCAAGTGCTTGGGCCCTGCACCCCATGGGAGACCAGGAGAAGCACCTGGCTCCTGCTATCAGATCAGCGTGGTGCGCCGGCCGCAGTGCGCCAGCTGCGGCGGCCATTGGAGGGTGAACCAATGGCAAAGGAAGACCTTTTTCTCTGTCTCTCTCTCTCACTGTCCACTCTGCCTGTCAAAAAAATTTCATTCAATCACTAAATAATGGGGAATCAGTAATGGTTGAAATGAGAATTCAAACATCACTCCAATACGGGCAATCACACTAAAATGAATTGACAAATGCTGGTTAGTAGACAAGGCAATAACTGAATATATCACAGTTCTAAGGGCAAATATCTGCAGTGTTAGCAATGTCCTACAACCACAGATTTGTAAAATAGCTCAAAGACAATGAAAAGAGCAGACTTTCATAGAGTCTCATAGCCAGGAAGGGTGGACTACACAGGATACCTACTAATCTTTTTTCTTCCATTTCAAAGCCTTCCACAATTCTTCCTAACAATGAAAATACTGGGGGAAGGAAAGTCTCTTGCAATCAGTTAAACAGTCATCTTTTCTAAGCTCACAAGTTGTTTTTCCAGTATTAACAAACTATTGGCTTGGGATCCTAGTCATTAAAATATCACCAGACATTGAGGAATTCACTTTTTGTTATAAATAAAACTTTCACACATATCCAAAGTACATCTATAATTAATATTTTATTTTTATGCTCTAAACACTAATAAACTACCTCTAAAATACTAATTTTGGGGCCAGTTTTGTGATGTAGCATGTTAAGCCACCACCTGTGATGTGGGCATCTCAGATGAGTTTTGGTTTGAGCCCCAGTTGCTCACTTCCAATTCAGCTCCCTGCTAATGCGACCAAAAAAGCAGTGGAAGGTGGTCCAAGTAGCTGGGCTCCTACCACCAACATGGCCAGACTTGAAAGTTTTTAGCTCCTGGCTTTAGCATGGCCCAGCTTTTACAGCCATCTGGGAAGTTAATCAGAAGATGGAAGATTCCTCTCTCTAATTCTGCCTTTCAAATAAACAAATTAATGTCTTAAAAAAAAAATTAATCTTTCGGGGCTGGTGCTGTGGTGCAGTGGGTTAAAGCCCCGGCCTCAAGCACCAGCATCCCATATGGGCACCGGTTCTAGTCCTGGCTGCTACGCTTCTGATCCAGCTCTCTGCTATGGCCTTGGGAAAGCAGTGGAAGATGGCCCAAGTCCTTGGATCTCTGCACCCTTGTGGGAGACCCAGAGGAGGCTCCTGGCTCCTGGCTTCGGATCGGCTCAGCTCCAGCCAATGCAGCCATTTGGAGAGTGAACCAGCAGATCAAAGACTCTCTCTCTCTTCATCTCTACCTCTCTCTGTAACTCTGTATTTCAAACAAATAAAAATAAATCTTTTTAAAAAATTCATCTTTCATATAGATTGCTAATTTATGCTTTCAAAATAAGCCTCCACCTGTGATGCTGGCATCCCACATGGGCACCGGTTTGTGTCCTGGCTGCTCTTCTGAAGTAGAGGATGGCTCAAGTGCTTAGCACCCTGCACCCACATCAGAGACCTGGTTCTTCAAGAAGCTCCTGGCTCCTGGCTTTGGATAGGCCCAGCTCCAGGTATTGTGGCCACTTGGGGAGTGAACCAGAGGACAGAAGACCTCTCTCTCTGTCTCCCCCAAGATCTCTCTGCCTTTCAAATAAATAAATCTTTAAAGGAAAAAAAAAAAAAAAAGAATGACAACAGACCTTTCTCAGTTCTCATAACTTAAATACAATTTTAAACATATTATTATAAAAGTCATATATGCTCCTTATAAACAAAATTAACATTTTTTGACTAACATAATATGAAAATAAAATGAAAAGCAAAGACTCCTCTCCTCTCCCCCAAATACATCCCTAAAATTCTTTTGCACGTCCCTAACCTCAAAATAATCTTCCTTTCCTGAATCCCTGGGGGTATTACAATCTGTACACCACAACAACTTATATTATACCTCTTCCCAACAAGACCACAAGCTGCTCGAGCTCTGATCTGCCTTTTACTTCCAATGTACCTCATGGACCAAACACACACACTATACAAAGAAAACATTTAACTTTCTGATACTTGTGAATGAGCACTACTACGGATTTTGATTAGTCAGCATTCATCTACCTTTGACCCGTCCACCCAGATCATCCATTCATGGTCATCCATTCCACTAGGCTGGGAGAGGAGACCTCTGAGTCAATTGTAACTTCAAAATCCCACAGGTGTGCCAAGGCAGTCAGGTCACTGAAGTGCAGCCAGCTCCAAGCTGAGAGGATATAAGGGACCCTGGCATACTGCATTAGGAAGAAAACAGAGTCTGTTCCAGTCTGGAGCCAACATCCAGGAAAGCAAACCTGAGCAACAGAGGCAGAAGCAGAGAGGCAGAGACGGAGACCTAATGACATCAGTTAGCACTGAGCCTCCTTTCACCACCAAGCTGACTACTCTGACTCCCTGAGTCTTTATCATATTCAGGGAACTCTCATCGGGCCTGAAAAGGGAGAAACATAAAAAACATAAACATATATACGTTAATGGACTCTGAGCTATGCACTATAGGTGTGCAAAACGATGATGGTGTGAAACACTGAGAATGAAGAAGTAGCAGATGTGTTGGTAGGAAAGAAGGTTTTGCAGGAAAAGGGCCTCCGAGATGACCCCTGCATTGTCGGCTCACGGCAAACCTCTGGCGCCGCTGTCCTGCTAGCTCCTTAGGCACACTGGCCATCTTTCTGCTCTTGAGAAGTAAATTCTTTCTGGCCTCCAAGCAGTTTTGCCACTGTCTGGATGTTCTTTCCACACATCGTCTCAGGACCGGCTGCTTTCTCCCCATGGCCATCTCTGATCAAATGTCGCCTCTTTCCACCACCAAACCTCGTGTCCGTCAAAGCTGACCAAACTAGAGACCGTCCCCATCACCGGAGCGTGAGCTCCCGAAGCAGGGGCTCCATCGGAATGAAACACCTCTTCGTTATGCCCAAGCTCTGGCGCCGAGCCCAGGGACTACATATTTACTCAGGGAGAGACCGGCAGTAACTGAGAAGTAGCTGCTGGTTGAGTCCAGGGACGGCGATGGGAAGGGGGCAGCGAAAGACAGCTGGCCGGGAGGCTGCCGAGGGAGCTGCAGTTTACCTCCGCGGGAGCGGAGGGGTCCGACCCGGCTTCCCTTGCCCACGCGCCGTGCGAGCAGAACGGCCTAACCCACGGAGTGACCAACCCCCGCGTGCTGCCTTCTTGTTCCACGACCCCGCAAGTCTCTGGTCACCAAACTTATCGCCCGGGCCGAGCCCCGCGGACGCTGGCAATGTGTCTGAGCAACAGCCATCCTCGGCCGCTCCTCGGAGGGGGTCCGACGCCCAGCCGCGCACCCCTGCGCCGGCTCAGCCGCCGGCTGACGCGCGTCTCCCCGCCCCCAGCCCGTCCGGGAGCCCGAGAGGGCCCCCACTTACGCTTGTCTCCGGGCTATGAGCCGATGCATGGGAGTCGCCATCTTAGCGCGGCCGAGGCCTGCCGCGCTGAGTTTTGGGAAACTCCTCGCAGGGGGCGTGGACTTGGACCCGGCGGCCGCGGCGTGGGCGGGGCCTCCGGGCGGCTTCTGGGCGGGGCCTGCGGGCGGCCTCTCTGAGGAGGCCGAGGGCCGGAGGCGGGTGCGTGCGGACGCCGCTGTGGGTCCGTCCATGGGGCTGAGCGAGGTTTGCAAGGACGGTGACGGGGAAGCACATTCCCGAAAAGGAAAAGTATGTATTTTTAAGATTCGTGTGTATAGGTATCCCCCACACGCAGAGATACTGAATGAAACTACTGTGTACCGGAAAGCAGAAGTCTGGAGAATAAAATAGTGAGCGGGCCCTGGATCCGAGAGAATGGGTTTAGCACATCCTCAAGTGAAAATGGTGTTAACTGTTCATTGTTTAATATATTCACAGCAATGTTATAAGGACCAAAGCTGCTTTGGCAACCAGAAAAAGACCATCGCAAATATTACTTTAGAAAATTGTAGCTATACCTATTTGTAGTATCGACTCATGGAAATGTTCTCCCAAGTCCACAATCTTTTCTATATATATATATATATATATATATACACTCTTCATATGTATAATTACTCCAAAAAGTTAGTGAAAATGGCATTAAAAGAAAAATGTACATTTCCCACCAACTTTTCTGAAATCCTGCTGTATATATTCTTGTCTGTTTCTAGGTCACCCATTTGTATTTTTCAATTAATAATTATTTAGTAAAGTGTTTAGGAGCTTGAGATGCTGTGTTGTTCAAGTTTAGACCCTTGGGCACATGGAACTTTCTACAGATAATAAACAAAATCTGCTATGATTAGGGTGTTTTCCCCCGATAATTCATGTGTTACAAATTTAACCACCAGGGCCAGAGCTGTGGTGTGTCAAATAAAGCATCCGCCTGCAATGCCGTCATCCCATATCTGCACAGATTCAGGTCCCACCTGCTCCACTTCTGATCCAGCTTCCTGCTAATGTGCCTGGGAAAGCAGCAGAAGATGGCCCACATGCCAGGGCCCCTGCACCCACAGAGGAGGCAGCTCTTGGCAGGAGGCTCCTGGCCTCTGTCTAGCTCTGCCCTGGCCTGGTGCAAACACTTAGGGAATGATCTGACAGATAGATGTCTCTGTCTCTTCTGCCTCCCTGACCTTCAAATAAAGAAATAAATCTGAAAAAAAAAAAAAAAAGAAATTTAATCCCTAAAGTCATATATCAGTAATATTTGGTAGGTGATTAGGTAACGGAGATTCTGCCCTCATGAATAAATGAATCTATTTTCAGATTAATGGATTAATTTGGTTATTGAAAGAGTAGTTTCGTTATGAAAGTGAGTTCTCTTTGCCGTGCTTACTTGGTCTTGCAATATGATGTCCTCTACTGTATTATGATGCATTTAGAGTGAACCAGTGGCTAGGTTTACCCTTTGGCTGGCTGTCTCTGTCTTCCTCTGTACTTCTTTGTTTCTCTGCCTCTCAAGTAATCTTTTTAAAAAGGAAAGAAAAGGAATCCCAAATAAAGGAGTAAAGTGATTAATTTTGAGAGTTAGAGAAGGTAATGATGTCAGCTTTGAGTACAGCTTGTTCTTTAAAGAATGGATTATTGGGCGTTGTGCCACAGCAAGCTAAACTGCAGCCTGCCATACCGGCACCCCATGTTGGAGAACCAGTTTGAGTCCCTACTGTTCCTTTTTTTTTAAGATTTATTTATCCTATTTGAAAATCAGTTACAGAGAGGGAGAGAAAGAGGGATCTTCCATCTGCTGGTTCACACCCCAGATGACCGCACAGCCAGGGCTGGGCCAGGTCAAAGCCAGGAGCTTCTTCCAGGTCTCCCACGTGGATTGCAGAGTCCCAAACACTTAGCCATCTTCTCGTGCTTTCCCAGGCCATTAGCAGGGAAATGGATCAGCAGTGGAGCAGCTGGGACATGAATCAGCTCCCATATGGGATGCTGGCGTCGTAGGCAGCAGCTGAGCCTGCTATGCCACAACACCAGCCCCTGTTCTAGTTTCCATACAGCTCCTTGCCAATGTGCCTGGGAAAGCAGCAGAAGGTAGGTCAGTTACCTGGGCTCATGCTATCCATGTGAAAAGCCCTGATGGAGCTCCGAGCTCCTGGATTGTGCTGGTCCAGCTCTGGCCATTGCAGCCATTTGGGAAGTGATCCAGCAGGGAATCTCTCTCACTGTTTCCTTCAAATAAATAAAGTCTTTTAAAAAGGGATTTGTTTTTCTGTTCTTTAGTTTGCTGTTTTTTTATTCCCCTGTGTATTTATGGGTATATTTTCACATCTGAAAACATACAGATCTAATTTATTCTTTTTGTATATTATATGATAGGATATTCCACAGTTTATCCAATCAGAACCCTATTGTTGAACAATTAAGTCAGCACAAAAGATTTTAAAGCACTCAATGAAGGCTTTTTGTTAAGATCCTTAAAATGGAATTGCTGAGTCAAAGAATATACACACTTAAGATTTTGATAACCCTTCAAATAGGCTGTACACTGGAGTGGATGGTTGACACAATTAAAATCCCTCTTGGGATGCCTGTATCTCATATTGAGGTGCCTGGGTTCAAGTCCTAGTTCCATTTTAGATTCCAATTCCCTCCTTTTTCCTACACTGGGATGCAGCAGGTGATGGCTCAAGTGGGTCCCTGCCGTCCACGTGGGAGACCCTGATTGAGTTCTAGGCTCCTGGCTGTGGCCTAGTCCCAGCACTAGCTGTGTGAGCATTTGGGGAGTGGGCCACTCCTTCTCTCCCTCTCTCTGTGGACTTTCAAATAAAAAATAAATATAAATTTAAAAGATTGTAAACAAGCTTGCTTTGTCACCAGATTTCAGAATGGTCAGTTGTTTAAATTTGTATATTTAGTAAACCAATGTGATATATTACTGATGAGGTTAAGTAATTTCCTCATCGTCCTTGTTAAATTAATCTGATTTGGTCTGAGAGTGACTACATACCTTCAGTCCCAACATCAGGAACTAAAACCTAGTGTGGTAGGTAAAGCAGCTGAAGGCCTGAATTAGGAATATGCTCTCATAACAGATACCTGAATCTCAGCCAGTCACAAATCACCAGCTGATCACATCATGCCCAAGTAAGGCAAAGGCAGTAACTAATCAACCTGATGTTCTGTGCCTCACTTCCCTTTTCTGTGTATACACTACCTGTTTACGTTGCACGCTGTTCTTTGATCCTCTTCTGATTCTGAGCACTTCCCGATTTGTGAATTGTTCTATGCTCGATTAAACTGTTTAATTTGTCTAAAGTTTTTCTTTTAACAGCAATAATAATCTGTTCTTCTTTCAAGAATTGGTTCTTCAAATTCTTTGTTTTTCTATTGGATTTTTATCTTCTTAATACTGATTTGTAAATTTTTAATATTTTACATATAAATCCTTTGTCTTATATGTTACGATTTTTTCCCCCTATTTTGTCTGTTGTCTTTTAACTTTGTGAGCATTTCCCCAAAGGGAAGTCTTAAAGTTTTTATAAAATTTGGGGCCAGCATTGTGGTTTAGTGAGTAAAATTGCCACCTGTGATGCTGGCATCCACACAGGCACTGGTTCACGTTCCTACTGCTCCACTCCTGATCCAGCTTCCTGCCAATAGCCTGGGAAAAGTAGCAGAAGATGGTCCAAGTCGTGGGCCCTTCCACACACATGGGAGACCCAAATGAAGCTCCTGGCTCCTGTCTCTGGCCTAGCCTAGCCCTGACTTTCAGCCATATGAGGACTGAACCAGTGGTTGGAAGATATGTCTCTCTCTCTCTCTTTAATACTGTCAATAAAAATAAATAAATCTTTTTAAAAATGTTTAGAAAATTTGAGAGGCAGACAGACAGAGTTCCTTTCTACCTGTTCATTACCCAGAATGCTTTGCAGTAGCCGGGGCTGGGACCAGGGCTAGAGCCAGAAGCTGGTAAATCAGTCCAGGTGTTTCACGTAGGTGGCAAGGGCCCAGCCACTTGAGTTACGACCTGCTGAATGTTGATTCTTAGGCAATCGTTTTAAACAGTCTTTGTGGTTTCCTAGATTCGGCTCATGCACAGAATGTTATTTTGTGTACTAAAATTATTAAAATATTGTCTTATTGCTATTTAATTATAATTATGTTAGTTATGTTTCTGTGGTTATATCCTGATTTCTAATTTTTATTTTATTGAAACTCGATTTTTTAAATGATCTATTACTTCTCTATTGGTTTCAAATGCCATTTTCAGGGCCAGCATTTTGATGTGTCCTGGTCTACTTCCAATCCAGCTTCCTGCTAATTGCTTGGGAAAAACAGTGGAAGATGGCGCAAGTGGCTGGGCCCCTGCCATCCACATGGGAGACCCAGATGAAGCTCCTGGCTAATGGCCTGGCTCTTGCGTACTTTTGAGGAGTGAATCAGCAGATGAAAAATCTTTATGTCTCTCCCTCTCTCTTGCAGCAATTCTGACTTTAAGAATAAATATTTTTTATTTTTATATTTAAATTTATTTATTTTGAAAGTCAGAGTTACAGAGAAAGAGAGTGAGGGAGAGACAGAGAGAGTCTTCCATCTGCTGGTTCACTGCCCAAATGTCCACAACAGCCAGAACTGGGCAGACCCAAAGCCTGGAACCAGGAGCCAGGAGCTTCTTTTGGGTCTCCTACATGGGTGCAGGGGCCCAAGGACTGGGGCCATCTTCTGCTGCTTTCCCAGGCCTCTTAGCAAGGAGCTGGATTGTGAATGGAGCAGCCAGAATTTGAACCAGTGTCTATGTGGGATGCTGGCACCTTAGGTGGCGACTTTACCCATTATGTTACAGTGCCAGCCCCAAATATCTTTCTAAAAAATGCCATTCTCATAATAAATAGTTTTCTTGAACATTATATTTTCTTTTAAAAAAAAAGATTTTATTTTTTTATTTGAGAGGTAGTTACAGACAGTGAGAGGGAAAGACAGAGAGAAAGCTCTTCCTTCCGTTGGTTCACTCTCCAAGTGGCCACAATGGCCAGAGCTGTGCCAATCCGAAGCCAGCAGCCAGGTGCTTCTTCCTGGTCTCCCATGTGGGTGCAGGGGCCCAAGCACTTGGGCCATCTTCTACTGCTTTTCCAGGCCACAGCAGAGAGCTGGATTGGAAGAGGAGCAGCCGGGACACAAACTGGCACCCATATGGGATAACAGTGCCACAGGCAGAGGA